GCAGAAACACGCTGTTTTTCGGGCCTGTCTCTTCAAATGCAAATGAGCTGCTGCTCCTCGCCCCCTTTTCCAGAATAGAGCTGCTACAGTTCGTACCTGCTAAAAACATCTGTTTTGGTTCTGATTATCGTGTTTATCACGCTGAAATCATGCGTTTTAAACCATATGAGTTTAAACTTCTGATATACGGTTTTCTGAGCACACATCCGAAGCACACGGACAGAAAGCGGCTGTCACAGCATGCGAGTACTAAACTAAGTTCTCATTCACACACAAGTTTACGTTAAAAACACACAAGTTACAAAAAACAGTCGGTTATGTCTGTGAAGGTAAACAGCTGGGAAATAAATTGCATGTTTATTTTAGATCTGTGTGGCAGCAGCAATATACAGTAAATAAATCAATAAATCCACTGCTGTCTTGTCTCCTCTGAGGCTGGGACTCTATAAAGTGTACTGTGCTCATCTGTGCAGCCAAAGGCAGAAGAACAGTTAGCATGTTTTGCTCAAACTTTCGCCATGCAATTAGAGCTAATACACCGTTGTCGCTTGCAAAAACACAATAACGGCGCCGTGGGTGTAAACTTACAGATTAAGGGGCGGTAATATTATAATGATATCACTTTGCAACATCACCAAGGGAGCGAAATCAGATGCGCTCGTTTTTTCAGACGCTTGCAGAAAAAGGCTTACCAAAACAAAGTTACTGGGTTAATCTTTTTCACGTTTCTTTGATTGGTACATGCACCAGGGACCTGATTATAGCACTTAAAACCTGGAAAAGTCAGATTTTCATGGTATGTCACCTTTAAGAGAAAAAGAACTTCAGTTGCTTTCAACTGTTATTTTAGTATTATTTATATACAATTATAATGCCTAGTAATATTTTAAATTAGCTTTTATATTTTCAGTTTGTCATTTTCTAATTTATTTATTTATTTTTAGATTTCTGTTTAGCCTTGATTAATTTTTATTTCAGTTTTAGTTATTTTAGTACTTCAACTTATTTCAGTTATTTTCCATGGTAACATTTCTAATTTTCAGTAGAGTTTAATCTATTATTTATATCTTATTTTCAGCTTTATTTCAATTAACAAAAACAATTTTAATAGTTTTGGTTATCAATAACAACATTGGCATCCAAATGACTCCCCAATACCAGTGCAATCCTACAAAATAAACAATTAGCCATATTAAGTTACAAGTTGGCATAGTTCATTCAAAAATTAAAATACCATAATTTAGAGTAGGGCTATTTAGGGTTACTTTTTCCTATGGAATTCAAGTGAACCATTTTTGGTACATTTTTATGCATCTTTTTTCATACACCAATTCATAGCAACCCCCCCCACCCCCCAACAACAAAGACTTGATTTTGCCATTTTCCATTCTGCATATTCGAACTGGCACATCGCATTTAGCATCAATGTCATTGAACCTTGCATGACTTAAGACTTAATTTTGACTCAACACACAAAACATACAGCTAAAGATCGGCTTTAAGAGACTGACATCAAGCAGAAAAGTTGCCAAATTTATGGTGCGTTCATGGTGTTTTTTGGAGCTTGACAGACAGTCACTATGATCAGTTTCACTGTATGGAAAAGAGCTGTGTGAAAATTGCTAAACGAATTCTTTTGTGTTCTACAGAGAAAAAAAATTATAAAAAATGACAGCATATTCACCATCACTTGTAATTATATATGTGCACCGTGCAAAACAGAAGCACATTAACTGACCCTCAGGAACCTAACCATTAAAGCTACTAAATGCTGTATAAGTGCACTGGTTTAGAATGGTAATTACTGGATGTGCACAGCACACTTGAGGGAATCGGTGCATTTGCATAAAATCTGTGGATGCTGTGGACAGTCACACACACTCCTCTCTCTAACGCTGCATCTGTAAATCCGTTCATGTCATCCTCTCATCATCAGCTCTCAAACAGGGGCTGCTCGATCACGCAGATTGATGACTCTCCCAGCACGATCGATGGCGAGCCTACAAATGTGAACCACTGCGCAATGAAAACCAGCACACACATGCACAAAATTATACACGAAACGCGCCTAGGTAGGCAGCTCGCTTGGTTTTGAGACACAACATCAGGTGATGATGCACTTGGGCTTTTTTATAGCTTTAAATCTCTCACCTCCAGGTGGGCACATGGGCCTCGTAGTCCCAGTATTCCCTGCTCTTCAAAGTGTTGACATCGGCATACACCCGAGATTTACTACCGGCCACCGGGCCGGGCATGGCGCGCGACGGGGCTCAGGGTGTAGGAGAAATCCGAACGCCAAATCCAATCCAAAACACACGGAGGACCACCGATCAGATGCAGACCAGCCCGGGGGAGGTCTGATGGTATCCGGTTCGGGCGTGAGGTATCTGATATCAGCGGCGTAAACGATGAAGCGCGGTGGCCGCTGAGCAGCGCTCGTTCCCCGGCTTGTCAGAGGTGTTTAGACCGCCTGGAGATCCGAGGGTGAAAATGAATGGTGGATAGTCTGTGAAATGCCCTGGCAGTGCTAATGTCGCATGCAAAGCTGCGAATATGAAGTCTAGATGGTCTATTTTGGATCTGTATGTGAGAAGTTTTGTGAAAAGCTATTTGGTTTAAAAATAGACTGAGTCCTAGGCGGGGGGGTTTGTTTAAATCTAATTATTGTGGGTTAAACCCCCCCACCACCCCAGAGGGGCCTAAAATCCCTAGATCCAAAGCATAGAGATTAAGAAAATCCAGGATGTGTTTCCTCTGTCTTCAGTCTGTAGCAATGGAAAATGCAGACCACCGTAACTGAGTAGAATATAACTAACCCAGCCTCTAAGCGTAGGATATTGACTGGTTAGAGAGAGAGAGAGGGGCGGTGGACTACAGATCGATGTTCTGCTCGACCCCCGTGAAAAACCGTGTCCCCGTGACGTCGATATGCAATAATCGCGAAACCCGCTTTTAATCCAGTGCAGCGTTCTGCTTGTGATCGGGGTTCGGGTTTTCCGGACCAATCCCCCCGTGCTGCTGCAGGAAAAACGGACTGCAACGGTTTGACCCGGAAGCGCAAGATAGCTTTATCAATTAGCATCGAACAGCCGGAAGTACAAGATGTAATGGCCACCGGGCATGTCCGTCCGTTGCTATGCGCCTGTATATGAAAGACTTCCGTTTCCATTGATGAAAGAGAAACAGATAGTGCGTATTGACACAAGTACTATGAAGAAAATATACATTTTGAGGAAATGCATTGCCTAGCTGTGTTTTCCATTGTTTCTATTTCATTAATTTCAGTCATTTCAAAAGAATATAAGTAATTTCATAACACATGCAGTTTTGTACAAATGGTTTAACTTCGCTTAATAAACGATTTACTCGGGAAACATATACATCTGTATGTAAACGACATGAAAATCTAGCATGTAAATTTCCTCATAATTGTTTACAATATTAAATAATAATTCTGATGTTATTTATTTAGCTACTGTTTTATTTGAAGGACTTTAATGAATATGGTGTAACGTCTGGTATAATCTGCCCCTAAATAAACATTCGTGTTAAAACGTTATTTTTAATGGGGTTTTTTTTTCCATAGAGTATCACAATAATGATAAAAGATTAATGGCGAAGAGCGCGCACGATCTGGGATGGCATTGTTTTGCTTAGCAACCATGGCGGAAACGACAGAGGACGGTCAAATCAACACAGATAAAAAACAACTGGTTGAACTTGTGGAGGACTTGAAGTAAGGCACAAAAGTTATTTTTTTCAAAATCTTGACTTATTCTTGCGGTCATATTTGCCAAACGATAACCTTTGTTCGTTTTAATACATGTAGTTGGCTGATAACGAGCCTACAGCGTTTTAACTGACTCTAAACGTTTTAGTTCTTATGTCAACAAACATTTTATATTATATATTATTTTTACATTTGAATAACTTCAAATTTTTGTTTTCCTGAATTTAAGACGCTCAAATGCAGCGCAACAAGCACAGATCGATATGTTTGAGCGATATAGTAGTGGGCTGGACCTACAGCCTCAATCGGAGAATTATGAAACAGCATCACAGATAGAAATGGCAGCGGTACGTATTTCATATACAATGTGTGTTATATGCGTTTTGAATAATTTCTCATTATTGTAAACAAATGAATACAGTCATGGCGTAATGTTCAGTGCGTAGTGACGTCCCTGTCGTCTCTTTCCACTCAATTTTTGAGGTGAAATATTACTTGTGCATGTAAATCTTGTAATATATATATATATATATATATATAGATATATAATTCCCATGACGTCATTCGTTCATTCAGCACTGTCAATCATGACGTCATTCGTTTATTATCAATCTTTTGATACCAGAGTCCAGGAAGGAAAACTAAAGCACGCACTCCAGAGAGACAACAGCTCCTGACACTAGAACAGAAATGTGATGTCGCCAAAAGCATGCATAAACTGATGACTGAGGATTTGAAGAGAGCAAAAGACCTTTCAGAAAGAGAGCTGGACAATTACAAGGTCATTAGTCAAGAGAGAGAGAGAACAAGCTCATGAGGCTATTACAAATTAATTTCATATGCTTATGTAATTGATTCTACCCTCTTTAGGCAACTCTGGAAGAAGCTGATATCCACTTGGCGGAGGTTAAAAAAGAATGTTGCCAGTTTGATCGTGACATTGGTAAAGCACTGCGGGATAAAAAGAGTGTGACGATGAGTGCTGAGAAGGTCATCAGATACATTGAGGATAAAGTAAAGGCCAAGGTAAAAGAAAACTTCAGATTGCAGGTTTACAAGAATAATGATTTACAAGCACAATAAAGTGCCCACATTTTTTCAGGAAAGCCTGATTGAGAAGTTGCATCAGAAGAATGCAGCACTCCTCGCATACAAGAAAAAACTACAAATCCAGTTGAAACAACAAGAGGAGATGGGTGAAGGCCTGACAGCTTTGGACTTTGAGCAGCTCAAGTTTGGGAACATGAAATGTAGGAAGCGACTGGATGAGCAAAACCTCAGACGTGTGGAACTCAAATTACTCACAGGGAAGACCCTGCATGTCTTGAATTCTAATAAGGTGACATGCTCAACCATAATGTGGTCCTGACAGCTTAAGATATCAATATCACTGTATCAATATCAATCGATATGTGTTGAGCTACACGCCACAGTATTAGGCCAGGTCTTGTAAGGGTCATTGTTATAAGGAACTGTTGGCCTTGATCAGACCTTGACCTAAAACTGTGGCTGTCTACAGAATTATTTTTCAATATTTCGATCTTGCAGGAGAAGCTTCAGACCTTGACACATGAGTCAGATGTGCTGAGCAGTGACACTGCTTTACGGGCGAAATTACTGATTAAGTTTGAGGAGGAGACCAAGCAAGCAGAGGAGGTCAGGATAATTAAATTAATTATATGCACTTCAGAACCCAACATCATGGAAGTAAATAAATAAATATTCAAATTCTGGTAATCTATCGACCATTATTAAAAACAACAAAAACAGACTAAAAGACATTTGTACTATTTGGAGTGGTACTCCACTGGCCAAAAGCCATAATATGGATTTTTTTTCCTGACAGGAACAAAACAAAGCAGAGATTCTGAACAGGAAGTTGAGGGGCCAGTTGGCTGATTTTCACGTACCACATGTCCTACAATACATCAACGTTAAGGAGTCTCATGGTCAGCTGCAGAAGAGTGTTAAAGAATGGGAACACAAGGTGGAGATAGCAGAGGTGAGGATTCTTCAAACGCTTTTTTTAATATTTTTTTTAATTCCAGAATTGTGGTTTTTAATGATCCTATTATTCCAGATGGCACTAAAAACATACTCAAAATCCTGGGACAAGCTTCGGATCACTGCTGGAGCCAGAGCAGTTCCTGCACGACATGCAGCCATAGATGCTGGATTGTATGGATTCTGAAACAACAAAAACTAAACATGTCCTAAATAACCTCAATACCCAAGATGATGTCAAAGATGCCTATATATTTTAAAACAAATGCATCAATATGAAGAATAATAAAATGAACATAAAAATTACACACAACAATGCATTATTAATGAAAAGGTTTATTAGTTAGTGCTGTGTATATTAAATGCTACATACAGATATTTAAGCATGAATGTCACATCAACCGCCACATGAAGTTTTCTTACTAGCTCATTCACAATCTACAATTTGAAAAAAAGCTAAGGAGAAGTATGTGCACTCGGAAGTGCAGATACTTGGAACAGATTACGGGAACTAACACAGCAGGCATGCACGGGGTGGTGAGGTCTCAAAACCATAGAGGAAGGCCATTGATCTTAACGTTCCCCTGTGGTCCTGAAACGTCTGCCAAGAATATAGATATTTATATAGAGATTTTAAACAATATTAATAAAAAAAAATGTATATACAAACGTGAAAACATAAAAAAACACAACATAGTTTCCAAATCCAACTGCTCATTGATACTTAATGCCTACAGTTTAAAAAAAAAAAAAAAGCTCCTCTGTATTTAAAACGATGGATAAATAGTTACTATAAAGGGGAAACAAATTGGAGGCAAAGGGCTCTGTGGAGAAACTAGACGCCCCTGCTTAAAGGTGCAATAGGTGATTGTCTTCAGAAACATTTTTTGTTATGCTGGTTGAAAGTCTCTTGACATCCCGATAGCAATAATTAAGTTTTTTTTTTTTTGCATTTTTGCCTTTATTGTGACAGGACAGATCAGACATGAAGCGAAGTGGGAGAGAGAGAGGGGCGGGATCAGGAAAGGTCTTCAAGTCGGGATTTGAACACGGGACACCCAAAGCGCAATGGCACTGAATGTCGGCACGCTGCCCACAAGGCTATCGGCGGCGACAGCAATCATTAAGTGGTCTTAATGTATTTGTCTGTATTTATATATTCTGTGGAAGGCGTAGGATCAAGAAATGTTCGTTCAATCAAAATGCTCAGTCCGAGTGTTTTAATTGGCTTTCCTACTGCCTGTCAACGTATGTATTTGCATACCTCTGCACACCGGGTTCGCGCAGACAGGATATGTCATCAGCGCGTTCACGCACGCTGGGCAGACAGAGCAAGAATGGCAGACAAACATCAACAATCCGATCTTCCTTCCTGGTATTGTAGTACTTTTAAAGTTTTCTCACCGGTGAATGACACATGATGTAGCCCAGCGGTTAATCCAGTCCTCGCGCCAGCTCGTTAGAAGTGAGCTACGTGCATGAACTGTGTTCCGATCGATATGATCCCTACACAGTGTTCATTGCTCCCTACTCCCTGAGCGGGGGAAATCCGTTGAAGTTTACTTCACTTCGGAACATGGGCTGGCATTGGGAACCGCTGATGTAGCCTATTGTAATAATGTTGTCTCTGGTCTGTGAGCGTAAATGCATTCAGGGGGTGTGGCTTTGGACGGCGATTGCAGGGAGGGTGGGATGTTCACTTTCAGTGCTATCAGGCTAAAGTCAGCATTTTCCAAGATCTCCTACTGCACCTTTAAGGCCAAGGTGTCACTATCACCTCTAACCTCGCTGTACAGTACAAGGCGAAACCTAACTGCAAGAGGGAGATGCTCCTCAAGGGCCAATAGTCAACATATAATACTGCATAAGCAACAGAGCTGAGAATGTCAATTTTGTAAGATGATGGGAATTCGTGATGTGGGTGGGAGGGAAAAAAGCAGGCAAATCAAGACTTGGACAACTTGTTCTATTCAAATTCAGCTTTGTAGACCAATAAAAATGTGATGGCTTTTTCTAATATTAAAAAAAGGAGAGTATGTGATTCAAAAACCAAAGATTACTCTTGAATGAGTACCACTTACCCTCTAAACCAAATATGTATATACTACGATTGTAGTAAGTGTCAGTTTAAAAAACAATTTCTCAAAAGAATGTACTGGTTATCATTTGATGAGTATGCAACACAGACATTCACTAACAAAAACATCAGAATTACGTGCGTTTAAGTCAAGGCCTTCGAGGCCCAAACAAACACTTTCCCTCCTGGATTCTGGGGGGAACTGAAAATCCATTCTGAAAGTCTTTGATCTTACGGTTTTTATAAAAGATTAACAAAAAATGACTCGCTGTCATGTTGCGAAAGGCAAATGACTGTAGGCAAGACACGGTGTTGGCAGATTAGAGATCAAACATGTGGATAAATCTATACAGCAGAGGAAGAATGACACTTATGGCGCTTTTCCACTGCATGGTACGGCACGGTACGGCTCGAGCCGTCGTACCACGCAGTGGAAAAGCGCCATTAGGGTACTGTACAAGTAGGCCTACATGAGTCCTGTATGGGGGAGTGGGTGGCCAGGCAAGGGGCAAAAACCTTTATAAAAACAGACTCAACTTTCACGCAACCTTGAACACCAATTACAATCTAAACTACATCTACAAAAAGGCTGAAATTAATTTTAAAAAGGCAAATCGGAAACAAAACTTAAAGAATGTATGAATCAGAACTTCACATGAAATGCTACTTATAAAATTGTGGTGCAGTTTAAAAACGACAACGCAATATCTAATGACAGGACTGGTAAACAAGTTGCATACATACTATGTACATACGGTAATACAGGAAGCCTTTTCAGGTTTTTTAGGCAATTTTCAGGACAGCTGTACTGATTCTCGTGTTAATATGAACTGTTTGTATACAAGATTGAAGTTTACATTTCTATATAGATTCTATATATTTGCGTATTATCTCAGTGAAATGTAGAGACCATCTGAGGTCGTTATACTTCTGCTGGTTAACGATCTGTCCTGTTTAAGTTCTGGTACAGTACAGTAGTAGATTTTGGTACATACCATTAGTTGCCACATCGAGGGGAACGTCAACATTGACATAGACAGACAGTTTCAACAGTTCATAACAGCACAACTTTGTCCCCCTTTTTGTTTTGTCATTAGCTTTGGGGTGAACTAAATGCGCACAGTAGGCTGCCAGAGGTTCTCCAAATGCGTGTACAACATACTCATATTGGAGCAAGGCTAGTGATCAGAATAGTTATTAACGTAGAGGCACACAGTAAGCAGTATTTCAACCATACTAGGTACTACCAAAAAGACTGAACAATTAGTTGCAGACTGAATAGTTTTTTGTCTTGTGCTCTAGAGATTTGATGGGGGCATTGTGAGCCACGTCGGGTCAAGGAGCAAATGCCGCCCTACTGGTCTAGGATCACAGTGCTATCTGGGACAGAGTTTGGAGATCTCCCCTTGCCTCCTCCCAGGATTCAGATGTAAACCAACAAATCGATAACTTTTTGTCGATAAAATCCAATTCAACTATGCCTCTTGATATCAAAAAGGGAATAACAACTTGTTGAGCATATGCATGTTTAGAACAAAATTAGGTATTATGAGGTTACTGGGCCTTGTAAGAATTAATTTGTCTGGGGTAGTTTGCGAAGATTGATAATACCTTTGCAAATGATAATCGGGGGAACAAATTACTGAATGAGAGAGGACACAGGGTACCCCCCACCTTCAGCCGTGTGCTGGACAGTATGCTCCTGAAGGGCTCCTAGATCAGCGAATCGCTCTCCACACCATACACATTTAAACTGGGCATCTCTCGCATGCACGCTTTGATGCTTGGCCAGGTGTTCGCGCTGCTTGAAGCCCTTGTCGCAACTGGCGCACTTGTAGGGCTTCTCTCCGGTGTGGACACGTCTGTGCCGCTGCATCTCCGAGGAGTACTTGAAACGCTTCTCGCAGTCAGGACACTTCAAGGGCTTCTCCCGGGACGGGTCGCATCGGTGCTGCACGAACTCTGAGGAGGACAGGAAGCGTCGGTCACACAGCGAGCATTTGAGAGGCTTCTCGGTGCAGTGGGAATTCTGATGGCGCTGTAGCGTGGTGGCTTTTTTGTAGGCCTTTCCGCAAACGTCACACTTGTAGGGCTTGTCTGGATTTGTGGGTGTCGAGGAGGACTCACCACATTTGTGACGGAGCAGCTCCCCGGACTGGCTGAAGCCCTTTCCACAGGAGGCGCATTTGAAAAGGTTGTCCATGCCGTGAACGTGCTGGTGGTACAACAAGTGGGACGGCTGCAGGAAGCCCTTGTCGCACAGGTTGCATTTGAAGGGGCGGTCGGCGGAGGGCTTGTGCGTTCGCCTGTGGCGCACCAGGGCGTACTGTTGTTTAAAGCTCATCTGGCAGTCTTCACAGTGGAATGGGCGTTCCTCCGAGTGGGTGCGTTCGTGCTGTCTCAAGTCGGACGGACGCTTGAAGCCCTTCCCGCACGTGGCGCAGCGAAACGGCCGAGCACCTTGTGGCTGACACTGGTGGTGGAGGAGCTCGGAAGACTCTTTGAAGTGCAACTCGCAAAGGTTGCACTTGAACAGGTGCTCACCCGAGTGGGCGTACATGTGACGGACTAGGTGGGATCGGTGCTTGAAACTCTTCTCGCACACCGCACACTTGAACGGCCGTTCGGAGCTGTGGGTACGCTGGTGGTGGGCTAGATGTGAGGACTGGCTGAAGCTTTTGTCGCATGTTTCACATTTAAAAGGCTTCTCGCCCGTGTGGACGCGTTCATGACGGGTGAGCTCAGATAAGTGACGGAAGACCTTGGAGCACACCGAACACTTGTAGGGTCTGTCAGGTTGCGAAGGCTCGAACGTAGGCTGACCTGATGTCCCGACGGCAGCGCTGCCACTGGATGACGCTTCGTCGTTGGATGGCTGCCCTGGAGTGGCCGTTGACGAAGTTGGCGTGGCATTTCCAGAACCCGGCTGATATGTTTTTTCACATATGGAGCACTTCATGGGGTTGCCGCTGTTATGGGCATTGTGATGCTGTGCTAGCGAAGTTAGCAGGGAGAAGCCCATCTTGCACACTCCGCACACAAAGGGTTTCTGCTCCACCTGTACACACTGGTGCTCCAACAGGTCAGTGGCTTGGTGGAAGATTTTCAGACACTGCGTGCACTGAAACGAACGGTCTTGGCTCACCATGCACTGGTGCTCATGAGGATTAGCCAGATGGGAGATGTCATGGCCACACGCACCACACTTGTGTCCTCCCTCGCTCCCGACATGCAAGGAGGGTTGCTGCGCTTGTGCCGGATGCTGCTGCTGGTTGTGCTGCTGACTGTGATGCTGCTGTTGTTGTTGCTGCTGCTGCTGCTGGGATTGTTGCTGCAATGCCGTGTCCGGCTGGAGGACGATGCCATAGACGGTGCAGCCCAGTGTGTCCGCCCCTGGTGGGATGGTGTGCACCACTGGAGGCGGGGCAACAGCATGTTGCTGCCACGCCTCCGTCACCCGGGCTCGGCTGTATGGATTCAGCTTTGAGCCGTAGTTGAACCTCTTTCCAGGTGAATTCAAGGGGAAGGGATTGTTGGACTGCCCACGATGGGAAAGGTGGGGAGGCAAAGAAGAACTTATTTTGACAGCTTGTGAGAATGACAAATGAAGAAAAATTATTCTATGTAATAATGTTGTCAGGAACACTTTGTGACTTGATATAACAGCGA